GAGACCTTAGTTTTCACAGGAGCTACAGTATCCAGAGTCGTACGTAGTGAGGAGGTGAAATTATTAACAAGATGATCGACCTCTGTTGGGGTAGCGTTCAGATAGCTGCTCTGCTCTGTGTTGGTACAGGGCATTGGAGATGATAACAGTGGGTGGATTATATTCTTAAACTTAGTTACAGCACTTTCAGAAAGACATCTACTTTGATAAACGTCTACTCTCCACCGCTGTGTAATCAATTATTGTAAATGTAAATGTTATCAGGAAATGATCAGACAGCAGAGGGTTTTCAGGAAACACTGTTAAATGTTCAGTTTCTACGCCATATGTTAAAACAAGATCTAGAGTGTGATTAAAGTGGTGGGTGGGTTCTTTTACATTTTGAGAGAAACCAATTGAGTCTAATAACAGATTAAATGCCATGTTGAGGCTGTCATTTTTAGCATCTACATGGATGTTAAAATCACCCACAATAAGTATTTTATCTGAGCTTAGCACTGAGATTCAAGTAAAGTGAATGGCTACTTTGACAGAGTTTCCACACCCCTGTCCCCCAATAGTCAATCTAAGAGTGAGGTTTATTGCTACCAATAACAACAAAACTGAAAGCACAAACTCCAGGTCTGTGAAGGTTCTTTAAGTTGCTCGAAGACGTCTTCAAGCAACTTAAAGAAGTCCAGATGCTTTTCTTTCCAAACTCCTTAGACCATAAACTCCAGGGTGAGAAAAGGTCAAAATAATAAACAAAACAACCTATACTAAAGAAGTGCTACCTAAATCCTACTCGAAACCAAACTAAACAAAACACAAGCGCTACCTTTAATTCCCTAATTTAATAAACAAGAGAAAAAGTGCAAAAAAATAGGGTGTTCACCCCTTCTGCTTCAGTGCTATTTACAAGATCAAGCACTGCCAGTTTGGAGGCCGAGGACAGGTCTGCTGTTGCTGCCTGGGGAACATCTGCGGGAGACAGGGTTTTTGAAATGGCCAGTTCATAGTGGGTGTCAGTCAGCAGGTGGCAGGTCAAAGCCGGCCCAAAACGGCTCCTCCAATCACGTGGAGGCCCTGCAGAGACTCTTAAAGGCACAGAACACACACTGATTCAGAATATGGCCAGGGCCTTAACACACATGTTGAACTGCAGTGGAAGGAAAATGCCCTAAATCAACAACAGTACCAGCATGATTAAAAAGGAAAACTATTTGTTTGATTATTGATGTTGAAACCGTCTTTAATCAGGTTGGTGCCGTTGCTGCTGGTTTAGGACGTCTTAGCTGCACCACAGTTCAACATGTGACCATTAAAAACTATGCTTTAACTGTTAGTAGTGGCTCATACCAGAGCCTTTTTAATTTGTTTCTTCCGACCAGGTCAGCTCCCCACACATGAATGCCGCATCGAAAAAAGCCTGTTTCACTCATTATTTCTCTGTTATTTGTATTCTCCTGATCACCTGCTGTTGTGTGTCATCAGGTTATAGATGAGATTTACCGCGTGTTGCGCTACGTGAACTCTACCCGAGCACCTCAGCGAGCTCATGAGGTTCTGCAGGAGTTGAGGGACATCTCCTCCATGGCCATGGAGTACTTCGATGAGAAGATCGTCCCCATTCTGAAGAAGAAACTGCCGGGAGCCGATCTGTCTGGTCGCCTCATTGGCTCTGCACCAGGTAATTGAAATGTGACAAAAACAATAATAGTTGCGCATCCCTATTGCACCGGGTGTCCAAGATTTTAAATGCAACGTTTGAGCCACAGTGGTTGTGCGTTTGTGGCTTTCCATTTGTATCAGAGTTGTCGCTAAATGTGAGAGACGAGAAAGTCATCGTCCTGTTTAGTCTTACGTGCCACCCCAGCCGTTGGTTGTTTGCACTGCTCTGCTTCACACGCTATGCTAACTCTGGAACACGCTTTACTCAGATGTGTGTCTTGTGCCCTCAGTGGCAGGTCCATCTACCTCTTTGACCACCATGTCCTTGCTGGCTAAGAACACACCTTCTCGCTCTGAGATGACCAAGGTGCAGCAGCAGGTGAAAGTGAACGGGGCATCGATGACGGTACTGCGGAGGGAGATGCAGGAAATTCGGGTCAAGCAGCTGGAGCAGCAGAAGCAGCTGCAGGACCAGGAGCAGAAGCTGCAGGAACAGAGCCAGGTGATCGCTGAGCAGAACGCCCGCCTCGCAGAGCTGGAGCACAAGCTCCGTGAACTGATGGAGAGTAGCGCTGCTGCTATCGGAGGACCCAGGCCCAACACAACTGTCCCCTCCACATCCAGCAGCTCTGCTGTGTCTTTCACTGCTGCCAGCACATCTGCTGCTGTCTTGACAGGCGTGGCTGCAGCCTCACCCAGGGAGACAGAGGGTGAGGTAGGGTCTTCGCTAAAACGCACCAGAAAAAGCTCAGACCTTCCACGACAATCCAAACGGCTGCGCAGCAAGAAATGAGAAACTCAGTGTGTCATTTAGCTCAAGTTATTTTGATTTTTAAGGTCTGACTGATCACATCTTAAACCAGTGCCCAGAGTTATCAGCCACTCCACCAACACACTTCCTGTATACTGTCTCACACACAGCGCTGACACCACCTGCTGCGGTGTGGAATAATTCTCTGCTGTCCACAACCAAAGCACTGAACCCTGAATGTCATCCAGGACTTTGCACATGGTTAGGTTTGTCGTTACAGAGCTGTTAATGTCTGATTTTCCTTTTGTTAAAGACTCGCCTAAATAATACATTACTGTGTAAACACGTCACTAGTTTATAGTTTCACCTTTAAAAAGGTCCCGTTCTCAGCTACTCCGTGTTGTAGTTTCTACTTTGAGCAGTGGATTACTCCACATGTGGCGGTGTAGTGATTTCAGGCAGTGGACTGAGTCAGACTACAGTGTGACCTAGGGTGACAGAGTGACTTGCTGATGATTTATCACTACCTGCATGATAATGTAACTCTATAGAAGACATTAGGCTTTGGCTACACAATGTTTTTTCTTATGCTCCATTCATCAGTGTCCTGGTTCTGCACATAGGGTTTGTTGGCCAGTCCTTGCAAGGCTTCTGAACCACTTAAATCAATAAGGGTATAGGTGGGTGGTTGGCCATTTGCCTCTAAAAAGGTTGTTTCACTGAAATGACTGTACTCTCAAATGAAGATGCTTATATTTGCAGCCTTATATTTGGAGTCTTGTTAACAGAAGTCACCTTGCACATGTGATTTAATGCATTTCCTGTTTGTTAAGAAAATGTTCATACTTGTCATTTTGGGAACATAAACTACTAAAGGATATCGAATGAAAATAGGAAGTGTGATGCTCCTGGAACAGCCTAACTGCGGTTGCATGTTGTCAGTAGTTAGTGATCTTCACAGGGGTCTAAATCAGTTGCAACAGCTTCTTTCTAAGTTTGGCTAAGTGCAATATGAATCGATGAAATAGTCAGTGATTTATTTCTTTTTAGTAGCTCGCTTTTTCTTTTTTTTTTTCAAGAGCTGCTGCTCAGATGAGTTTTTGATGAATTCTTGAATCTTCATGAAAAGCACGGCTGAAAGGAGGAGAAGGCCAAACTGTCATGTATCAGCTCTTTGGGGGGAATATGCACATCAGTTTCTTTCCACTCTTTACAGAGGAAGCCGAGAGCACAGGAGCCATGCTGTGCTGAATATGAAAGCAGTCATGCGTTTGAAGCTCCTCATGTCCATATTTGGCTGTTATATGATGCATTACTGTATGAGCTGTGCTGAGGATAAAAATACTATAAAACTGACCTTGATGGCAAACTGGTGTTTTGCATCTGTTCTCTGAATAACGTGAGAAGCCTGATATGAGCTTCAAACATTCTGCATATTCACTGTACACAACATGTACTCCAGTACAGGTCAGTGTTTTACCCTGGGGGGGGTTGTTTTCATTGTGTAGTCTGTCCTGACTGCACAAACTGGAGACACACAAGGCCTAACTTTGGCAGGCTCGCACAATACTTTTAATACTTTCACTTTGCTAACAGTCTGAAAACTGAGACGACCTTGAATTAAGTACTTTAACTCAATAAATGTAACCTGGTGTCACTTGCTGGCTTTTATCGACATTTTCAGCCACATGTCGCTTGATACAACATTTGGCCAACCTCGTCTGCTGATGAAGATCTGAAGGTTTTAGTCCGTTCCTGAGGTCCAAATGAAAACAACGATCAGTTGTTTGCTTCTTATACTTTTTTGAGCTTTTAAGATTTCTGGGATGTCGTTGTCAGATCATGTAAACACTCCTCCAGTATTGAATTGCAAATACAGAATCCCTGCTGGCTCATACTGGGCTTCTCCCCAGCTTAGGACTTGTAGTACTTCAGTAAACTCAGAGAAAAACACAAGTGTAGAAGTACATGTGGGGGAAAAGAAGGAAGGAAAAAACCAGAACAAGATTGCATTTCAAAGGTCACTTCTAAAACTTGCAGGTTTTTCTCACTTTGTCCCAAATGCCAGCTGATTTTTGTTTTCTCCTTATGTTTTGAAACTCTTCCTGAGACTTCTGCCTCCACCTGAAAAAGACGAGGGAGTGAACCTGATTTTTGGACTTTTTTTGCACAAATAGATGGTGGCAGTGGGAACCGATTACCGTTAGACTGCCTGCTTCCTTCTCTGTACAAACTTGTTTTGTTGCCTTGTGGCTGCACTTGTGTTTTCCTTGTTCCAAGTGTTTCTGTTCTTTGGATGACCTGAACTAACACATGGCACATTCATTTGGTAAAGACATTTTGGAAATGCATCTCACGTGTCTATTATGAAGACACAAGGCAACAAAGCACAAGAAGATGTAATCTGGTGGTTCCATCTGAGACTGCGTCTCAGTCTAGAAAACCTTACTGTATTCTTCATGTATTTTAAAGTGCAGATTGTGAATTATTTCATGTACGTATGCCAAGAAAGCTATCTTTTGAGTTGGGGCTAATTGTACAGTCTTGTTGCACACATTACTGTTACTGATGTACAAATCAAACCTATTAAAAATCAGCTAACACATTTGTGTATCTCTGATTGTAAACATGAAGCTGTAGATTTAATGTTAATATTTGAGTGTTCATTCATCATATATATTCATTACGTTTGGTAGTAAAACAAATGTAATTGATATCATTCTTTGCTTGTGTGGTCGGTCGTATTATCCATTTTGGTGGATACATGACATTGGCACGAAAGAAATAAAAACAATAACAGGAAATGTTCGTGCTGGAGACAGGAAACCAGTTCTGATGACTAACTAACTGGAGTGCTGTGCTGGTACGCTGCAGTGTGGCAATGAGACTGCATCCAAATCAAAGCCATTTTTTTAAACATATGCAGGTGTTACTTCCTGCAATATGCATTATGTATGGTGCAAATATGCAGTATACGCATTTCATATAAATTTTCTTTAGCCCAGATAAATAAACATTCCAGTCATAAAATGTGAATTTTTATGTGCTGTATAGCGTATAGAATAAATAAGTGAGACTTGTGTTTGTAAACCCCCCGTGTTGTGTAGCTTCAGTTTGTCTTTTTTTTTTATTAAGCAATAATCAAATTGTTATATGCTTAAATTTACACAAAATGCAAGAACTCTGCCCCGTCATGAACACATTTTTCACCAAAAATCTAAACCCAGTTTTTCATAATTTATTGGCTTAATAACACGCACCTTCATTTCATTTCCAGAGTGTAACTATCAACCACCTGTGTTGAAATCTAAAAGTGCCCATGGTGTTAATTCAAAAGGGAGCTTCCTCACCAAGCAAGTCATCAGTATGTTGAAGCTCATCAATTAGTTCCTGCTGATCAGTCACATTATCCAGGACCATTAACGGAGCTTGGATTTCGGAGTCACTCATGGTGATGGACGAAAAAATAAATGAACAAACACACAGAAAAACCACACAAGACAGAGACCAATAAAGGCAGAAACTGAGCCCTAAAACACATTTACAACAGACTGACATGGCTCTTAAAAGTCCCTTACGGATTTTTAAAAAAAAGCAGATGTATGAAGCAATAATAGGCTGATTGATGAAGAACCTGTTGAGAATTTTTTTTTTTTTCAGAATTCAGAAGCACCTTAATACCAGCGTTCCCTTCATCTGTGCTCCCACTGGCTGCTAGGGACAGGTGGAGAATTTAGTTGTGCTGATGCAAGTTTGACTTGCATTTAAATACAACATTTAAATACAGCAGTATATGAATAAATAAAGTGAAACTACAAATATATACATTTAATCATTTCTGATGCAAAGACAGTCAGTCATTCAGCTGGCAAACCCAGTTTACTGTTCTTTTGTGTTTAATGCAGCAGTGGTGCTTGGTCTGCTATTTAATGATTATGTTACGCTGACAAGTTATTAATGGAGGGAGAGCGCGAGATTGATAGACAACATCTGGCTGGATTAGAGCATCAACCCAATCTGGCAACACTGACCCTCATTAGAAAGTCAAACTTTACAAAGTGGCAACAACAGCAAAGGTGAGTACACGCTTCTCTGTGACTTTACTCTGGATGATGATATGTACTAGTAAGTATGTCCGTATGAATAGTCTTTGAAGTTTATTATTATCTAAAACACTTGTTTAATGTTTTGAGATCGCCCCCGCCCCTCCAGCACTATCTGCAGCAGGAGCAGCAGCAACTGCTCAACAGCAACATTTTACACATCAGGTAAAACATAGGCTACATTTGCTTTGCATTGTCCCTGCCTGATGACAGTGATATAGTATGATGTGATTCCATATTAGATTCTTGATGAATGGGGGTTCAGCCTGGTTGTTGGTGCCCTCTTTTAACTTTGAGCACATGCCCCTTCAAACATCTCTGCACGGCCCTGCTCAAAGCCTTAGTATTTCTGCTCAGAGAATGTCCTGTTTTACACTTGTTTTTTACTGTCACGTTTTCATTTCACAACAGTTTAATTTAATGTCACTTTTAAAAAGGATATGAACACACAACTGGAGAATAAAAGAATCTCAGTTATTTAACTTGCTCAGGTCTGCGGTGGACTATTTTCAAGTCAAGAGGTTTGACGATTTTTGAGGTGCTAACTCAAGAAAAACAAAAAGCCCTCAAGATATATTCTGTAAATATATGTTTCGCTGAAATGTTAGTTTGTTGACATAGCAACAGCCTTAAAACAAGGTTGTGACGACAGGCCACCGGGGGGCGGAGTCTGCAGCCTGCCGGCTTTTGCGCAAGTCAGCGTCGGGCCATCAAAGACGACAGGAAGGGAGGCAAAGAAGTTTCTTTTAAAGAAACGACCTTGTGCTATTACTTTTTGGAGAAGTGCTGTAAACCTCTCACCACAGTAGTCACAAAGATGGGAAACCGAGTCGCCCGTGAGGACTACGAATGGGTTTATACGGACCAGCCGCATGCTGACAGGAGAAAAGCGATTTTGGGTGAGCTAGCTTATCCGTTAGCAAATTGCGCATAAATCCATAGTTAACAAAGGTATAACCAAGTTTGGCTTTTGACGACTAACTTTCGTTAAACCGTCTAATTGCACACCCCGACACCATAAAGGCTTAGTTTTTTGAGTAGTTTTAAGCAACGGTAAGTTTCTAATTAGTTTCAAGCTAACGGTTCCTTATGCACCCGTATTTGTTAGCTATCAGGCCAACTTTGCTCAATATTTAACCCACAGTGAGAACCACTATCGTTCAGTTACACGATTTGACATGGACACGCGCTCGCGCACACAAGGAAGTTCCAGCTATTTAGGCCATTCGACCCAACTAATATTATGTGAGGCTAGCAAATGGGGAGTTCTCGCAGTGGTTATGTGCCACTCCCTAAGTTTCTCTTGGGAAAACTGCAGTAACGGTTTGACACATAACCGGTGCTCTCGGTGCCTGTCAGGAGTGGTTTGTTGACTTTGGGGTAGATTTTAAGCGTTAACTGCACATATTATATCACATTCTCGCCCCACACTTGGTATAGTTAAAGCATTGCAAACAAAAAAGGAAAAGTATTGCAATTTGACAATGGCCAGTATAAAAACTACAGTATGCTCCGTACGTATTGGTTTTTTTTTTAAAAGTTTGTTCTGGTTTGTAGTTTAAGTGGTATAGCTAATTTCCAAGGACTTTTTTTTTTTTTTTTTTTTTTTTTTTTTTAGTTTCAGAGTTCAAACCCAAAGATAATGAATTATCGTGACATGAAACTGAAAGACGTACATAAACTTTTTTTTGCATTTTAGCTCGAAAACTAAATAATCAGAACCATGATGTCTCTCTCTCTACATATATGATTCACATTAGTAACTATAGGCAGCTGACTCACATTGAATGCTGCTTTTCTTCTTTCAAACACACAAAGCGCTCATTGTGTCAAAGTGCCTTTTTCTCTGAATCAGGTGGTCTGCTTTAGCCACTGGACCAAGAGGACAGTGATCAGTGTTACAGCATTTTAAGTTGTTTTTATGTCACATATTGCAAGGTCTTTGCGATTATATACCTCCAAACTTTGTGAA